CTTATCCCCACGGGTTCGCTCAAAACGCCTCTTTCTCTCTCTCTTTTGAAGCACTTTCCATTCAGGACTTCACAGCCGACCACAGCTGGCGCTGCCTTGCCCACAATTAATCAAGGCAGCGTCTTAATCGCAGGGGATATGGGGGCTGCCCTCTCTGGTGCTGGGCTGGAGCTGGGTGGTCGATCCACTGGGACCTCTCGGCTGGGACCTCTTGGCTGGCCGCTCGCCTCATCAACACCGGAGAGCAGTGGAGAGGAAAAATCAATGGGAAGCTCTCATGCTGAAAAACGCTAATAAAAGGAAGTTAAAGCTCAATTTTAAGTCTGCTAGACATCTTGAGGAGCTATTTTATTCAGAGGACAAAGACCCAACTACTTCCTGTCACTGAAGATTTGGAAGTGAACAAGTTTTAGCAGCAGAAAAAGTGGGATGCAACCGGCCCCGCTGTCCTCAGCGCGCCCGGTAATTACAGAGATGGTGGTTTGCTCTTTCTTCCACACACCCCACCTAAAATACCACCGCTGGGAGCGAGCGCACGTACAGCTTCCCCATTTCTGGTAAATGACCCATCTTCTCTGCTCAAACCTCTTAGCATCCAGCGTGACATAACCAAGGAGCTTTGTGCTCGGTGTCCTCACAGGCCGTCCCTCTCCTTGTCCTCTGAAGACGTGCCAACGCATCCTGCAGCTCACTGACAGCTAGTGTCACTTTTTCCCCTTTTTCTAGGAGTGTGCCCACGAAGAGGAGATCACCTCAGCAGCTCTGTCACTGCTGTGTATGTTAAACCTCTGGTTAATTCCCTGCCAGGACGCGTGAGAACATGAGGTCTTCTCCTGATCAGTGGGAGAGCTGAAGGTCTTCATTAAGAGCAGTACACGCAGTCACCACCATGTGACAATTTTAAATATCTTGGCGATTTTCTATACCGCTCGCTGCTGGTGTTCTTACATGTGCAACCTGATTGCCACTAAGCGGTATCTAACTTGCCATTTTGACCTTCTTGCTCCAAGCCGAGTCCAGGGGACCACCGAAGGCTCAGGGGAGGAGGGGGACGCTGGCCTGCAGGTCTCTCTGCGGCAACTACTGCCAAGCCAATTTGCAATGCACCGTGACGGCATCTCATCAGCGTAGCCACCTCAGGAAGCTTTAGCTGCCCACAGATCTCTGTGGAAGAACGGCCACTGGCCTGGCCTCGGGGAAACCACAGTGGGGTGTGGGAGCAGCCGTGGGGCTGGGGCAGCTCCAGCACCCCCCCAAGCCTGTCGTCCATCGAGGCTTGCGTGAAGGCTGCATATGGGGGGCCACCACCACCGTGGGTGCTGCTGAAGGGGTGGGGGGTGCCACCACCGAGCTGGGTGAAACTGAGGGGGTCCCACCCGCAGGACGGAGGGTGCTGAGGTGACCCCAGCCCCGGTAGTGGGCATCCTTCTGCCTCCTCCTGCCCGTCCTCCCCATGCGGTACCTGGAGCATCACTGACATCTGCTGCTGTCTGCGGGCATCGGCGCTGGACCCGCCACGCAGCCCTCACCCCTCGGCCCCCTCCCCACGGGCCCTCTCTGGGTACACGGAGGGGCCCGAAGCCATCACCCATGTCCCCCTGCCCAGGGCTGGGGCACGGTCCCCATGGAACCACTGCCTGCGGCCGTCCCAGGAGCTCCCACCATTCCAACGCGCCCTTCCCTGGGGCCTGCTCCTGAGGAGCGGCTGGAAATCCAGCCTAAAAACAGCAAAATGAAAAGGAGAAACATTTTGCTTGGGCGGTGCGGTGCCTGGAGGGGTTGTGCTCCTGCTGAGGTGCAACAGGAGCCGCAGCTGCATGGAGAAACCAGGGAGACGGGCTGGGGCGTGAAGAAGGACATCGGGAGGTTCATTTCTCATGGGGTGGGTTTGCTTTTCGAGGGGACACGCAGAAGCCCCAGAGCAAAGCAGCAACCGCTGCCACGCGTGCCGTGGTCTTCCCCGGCAGCGTGTACCCATCGTGTTGACACCCGATGAGGCACAAAGCGAGCGGGACCCCACAGGGGTCTCGGCTGTGCACGAAGGATCAATGCCCATGGTGCTCCCAGGACTTCAACCCACAGGGTTCCCCAACACCCGCTTCATCCCCATTGCACCCAGGGGAGCCAAACCGAGCAGGGCTGGGCCCTCTTCCCACAGTGAGGGACCCGCCATCCCAAACTCCTCAACGCCCTGAACCCAACACAACCTCCCAGCGCTCCCGAGCCCACCACGAATTCCCACAGCCAGGACAACTGCCCAGCCCCACCAGCCCATGCTGGGGTTCATAATCCCACAGGGAATGAAAGAAGCCAAAAACATCATGGTTGCTTTTTTTTTTTTCCTTTTCCAATAGTCTCACTTTATTAGATACCACATCAAGAGAGGATGTTGTGCTGCATGCAGCGGAAGACTGGAGTATTTCTAGTTCCTGTGTAACATTTTCTTTTTCTCTTAATAGTTGTAAACTGATATTTTGCTGTAAAATCACTGCATGCAAGCTGGAATGCAAACAGCAGTAGAAGAGGCTTTTTTTCTTTTTATTTGTTTTGCACCATTCCCAATCCATATGTGCATGCTTTATTTACAACGAGAAGAAGTCATTCAGGGCAAAAATGACCATCTGAAAAACCGAGCAGAGGGTGGCAAACAGAGACAAGGGCTGCGGTTTGCACAACACCAAGAGGGGGCCGGGCAAGTCGCACTTTTATTTTTCTGGGTGCAAAGAGATGACGGGAGTATCGTTCGTCTGCAGGGAGAGCAGGCTGAGCAGAGAAGGGCAATACAGGGCAGGGGTAAAGGCAACCTTAATTTAATAGTTCTGCACCCGCAAAGGAGGCAGGGCTGCTGCAGGGCTGGAGTAAATTAAGGAATTGTGCAGATTTATTTTTTTTTCTCCTTTTTTTCCAAGGTAATTTCAGCCCCAGCCACACATTTCCCCAGCGCAGCTTGGCAGCGCGCTGTGCCCGACTGCTGCTTCGCGACGCATAGGCACAGGCCGTGCAAAGGCTTGGGTCAGGTCCATCACCCTGGTAGGGATGAAGACAGCATCCTACAGCCCAACCACCTCTGCCCCGAGCAGCGAGACAGCGCCGGCCACAGAGGGAAATGATCCAAAAGAAGTGGGTCGTTTCAGTCCGGGTCCTTCGCACAGCCCGCGCCGAGGGCAGCGTGGCTTGGGGATGATGCACTTACTGGTGCAGAGTGGAGAACTGCACGCAAGGGAGGGGAAAGCCACTGCTGGAGTGTCCTCTGCCATCGCACTGTTCAGCCCATCGTGCCCCGATCGGTTCCCATCTCGGCAGCCTCAGCTGGGGGGGACAGCAGCAGAGGATGCTCATGCTGGTTTGGGTTTGCTTTCCCCATCTGTGGTCCAAGGGTGGCTCCTGGTGGAGAGCTGGGAGCACCCAGCCAGGGCTGGGAGGGGGAAAGCAGAGCTCCTGGGCTGGGGAAGGACCACTGCGCAGCATGGCTGGGCGCGCAGAGGGGTCAGCGTGGCACGGAGACGTTAGCATCGCTCAGCTGCAGGAAGCACAGCCCTGCAGAGATGCTCACTGCAAGGCAGCACTTGGGGCTGATTCCGCTGGCAGGCAAAAAAAAAAATAGTAATTTAAAAAAAAAATGATATCAAGAATAGGAAAATAACTTGTCCAATTCGGAAGAAACAGCTCTGTGGTCCAGCTGAATTGAGAACACGCCACACGCCAGGGGACTACAGCAGCGGCTGCAAGGGAAGCCATGGGACAGCGCGAGGCGAAGGGGCTCAGGTTCCGTACGACAGCGCAGCGTGGAGCTGAGCCACAATCCACTCCAGCAGTGCGCAGTGTGCTCCTATCGACATTGCTACGCTTGAGGCTGTCCAGAGACAGCCAATGGTACCAAACCCGGCCAGCACCAGCCTGAGACCGTCGTGACTCTCTATCGAGAACAACTAAAACGCCTCCAGATGATCATTAAAGCGTTGAAGACAACGGTTCTTGTGCAGATTTGAAAATAAAAAAAAAAAAAACAAAACAAAAAAAGAAAAAAGAAAAAAGAAAAAAGAAAAA